AGAATTGCAAATGACGCTCCGCTGGCCCTCTGGGAGCCACTGCCGTGGAGGCAGACTATTTAGGTATAGTGTAAATAATGTTCATTCAATTATTGGTTTGATATGGAGCAATTCCCTTCTTAATCTCATATACTATCTCCGCCGCTTCATCTGCACTCTTGGCTTCAAAATCATATCGTTTTTCTTCCCGTGATTTGTATACCACAAGCTGTATTGTCATTATTCATTAGTTTCGGACTTGAGGGCAGAGATGTTAGATTCTGTATAACATACCTTAAAATTGGTCGGGTGTCTTCGTGTCACTTTACAACCAACCACATTACTAAAATGCACCGTGGTTGTTTTGCCTTGTCCTTCAAACATCGTCTTGCCTGTGGATGCTGGAAGAATATGTAGATATTCTCCATCAATCGCAATCACCCTTTCGTTCATTCCTACAAACCTCATTGGTTGTTTTCTCCATACTATATACCTTCGATAGTTGGCACTTCCAAGTTCATCTTGTTTGACACTCTCCATAAGAGGATGTGGTACTAACATTTGAGTTCCCTTGCGCGCTTTGCGAGGATCGGGTCGATCTACCATTAATGAATTGGGTGTACTACTTGATGGCGAACCAGTCATCGTCAATGGTCCATCCGTAGCAAAACGTCGTCGATACAAATCTAATTCTGATGAATTACCAATTGATCCCACTGTGCGATCTAGATAAACGACAGTCCCAGATCCCGTAAGTTTGAGAACGTGTCCTGCTTTGTCCAGTTGTCTCTTCTTACAAACCGTATCGAGGACATCAGCCAAGTAAGTATCGGTTGTGACTTCCAGAGCGACCATTTGTCCAGGTGTAGCATTAATTGAATGAATGTGAATGCTCAAGATCTTTTTGGTACCACCACCTCGCGAAGTAGGTTGAGTAAGAGCTGTTCCAATTGTAGGCGCATCTGCCAACGTGGAATTCTTTCGTAATGCAGTCATAGTTGTAAGAAGAGGATTTTGATAAGGTTGTGTACCAAGAGGAAATGAAGTATTAGCTTTGGGTGTATTGATAGGAGTAAAATCTTCTTCCGTTTCAGATGAGGCAACCGCCTCTTGTTTGAATTGAGGAGTAAGCCTCTGGTTCTCTTCAAACTGTTCATCGGTAGCCTCAACCAAAGCAAACTCGTCAAAAGTTTTGGAGTTTGATCTCGCTCTTGGTCCAGCTTTATTGTTGGCAAACGTAAATGATGTAACTGGCTTGAGACGATCAAGAGGTGGGAAGTCAGTGTCCACTTCCCCATCATCGACCATCCTTAAGATCCATCGATTGACATTCAATTTCTCAGGGGCTATGGTAGGTTCTAATTTTTCCTCAAAATACCTCCATAGACTCAACCCGATCAAATCAGTAATGACCACTGGTCGATTATGTGACTCATCTTCATGAACAGTTCTTCGAATCAAAACCTCATAGGGCTTCTTTGTTGAAGTAGCAAATGGCGCCAATATACGAATATTGATAGGGTTTGGATCACCTTGTCCAGAGAGAGATGCAAAATTTTCGAATGGCATATTAGCTTTCGTTCGCTTAGCCGTAATCATTGCGGTCAACAAACTCTTAGGTTGTATCATACTAATTGGACGAGGAGGTGGTAGGGCTTGAAGTACTGGAGGGGCTGGCTTGGATCTTTTCGTTGGTGATCGTATAAGATCTCGAGGTATGGTATTACCGATATGTTCTGGGGCTGCAGTTATCGGTCCATCAACACTATCTAATATAGATGCACTGTCGATACTACCACCAAACGTGGAAGACATATCTGATCCCGAGTCTTCTTCTTCCTCTTCCTCTTCTAAAAGATCACTGACTTGTCTCTTCACGCCCACATCTGGATCCGACGGACCTGTTCGAACCGTTCTACCGGCTCTCGCAGCATTTCTGTTTGATTCTCTCTGTCTTTGAAAAGCAGATGCATCAAACTCATTATCAGATGACATTTCACTACTCGTAACAGTATCCCTTCTGGCTCTTTCCTTCACAACTTCTACAGCAGACTGGGAACCTCTTCTTATGCCAGGTCCCGGAGTTCGTGAAGGAGAATTTGCAGTAGTAGATTGTCGAAGATTGGATCCACGAATAGGAGAAGAACCAGAACGATTTCGTATAGGCATTTTAGAGAATTTGATTTGTTGTGCTGCCCTTTGATCTCCATCATCATCACTATCATCACTCAAATCGCTACTATCTTCCTCCTCCATTTGTTCTCGTCTGCGCCTCCTTTTGGTAGCGATTCCAGGCCCAACAGTATCCCCTGCCCCTCCTGTGAGCAAACCTCCTTCGTCAACTTCATCTTCAAGACCTGAAGGTGCCAGACCAGCTGATCTAGGTGGTGCTTGGAAATATTCCGATGCGATGGCGGTGGGTATTGGTGGGGAATGAGTTCGTTTTATATTTGCGGCATTCGTGCGCCATCCAGCAGCTTTGAATCCGGGAGTGTTTAGGAATCCATCGTTGATTGTTATGAGCCTTTCACCAACACCATCTGCGATTGTATTTAAATAATTTGATCTCAATTGATAAGAGACGAGACTGTGTAACGCGTCAGTTAGATTAAGGAAGTGGGATGGTTGGGGAATTAGAAATCTTACTCTTCCACTTGAATGACCGACATGGTAGAAAAATAATGTAAATAATGTATAGAAACGATCACCGGCTCGTAAGTACGAAAGAATGGTAAGAAGGGTTGAAAGGTATGATTGCTCAAGTCATTATCAAGCTTCCATAATTGAATTCAACATGATGGATGAAGTTGCGATACTATCAGTGTTCAGCCTTACAGTATCTGGGGTACACTAAAATTGGCGCCTATGTGATTTTCATCAGGCTGTAATGACAGCCTTTTCCCCAACTCTCACAAACCATAAACCATTACAATCAAAATCATCAAAAGAAAAAAACACCGCAACGATGGGACTGGTAGATTATTCAGATTCGGAAGATTCAGATTCTCCAGAGATTACTGCGCCAAAGCCATCAACATCAACATCCGCAACTGGTAAACCTGCATTCCAAAAAGTTGTCGATAGATCAAATCCTGGCAAAATTCGGGTTTCATTACCACAAGCATCTTTGAAAGACGATACCAAAACCGATGAGCCTCCAACGAAGCGCGCAAAGACAGGTGGTGGAGCTTTCAGTGGATTTAATTCATTCTTGCCAGCTCCAAAGAGAACAGGACAATCTACAAGTGCGACATTAGGTGGTGGAAATGGGCCGCGAAAGAGTGGTTTGGGAGCTGGAGTTAGTTTGAAGACTGGTGCAGCTCCTGCTTTTAGTAGAGAACCAGAACCGGTACAGGAGAGAGAATACACAGCGGAAGAGCCTGCTGAAGAGGAAGAGGGAGCTAGTGGATCTGGATTGAATTCACCTCCTCCAAGCTCCTTGGTCGATGAACAGAAACCAGCAGATGAAGTCAAATTGGTCGGGAAACCATTAATGTTCAGACCATTATCCGTCGCGAGGAAGCCAGCAAGAAAGAAGCTCCAGAAGCCAAATTCAAATGCATCTACGCCTTCTACTTCTACTTCAACACCACAAATTACCACACCAGCCACTCCACAGAATACCAGGAAGGTAGCGCCAAAACCAAAAGTCTCCTTGTTCTCTCTAGAAGTAGAACCAGTTAACACTCCAAACGCCACTTCAAATGGAGAATACACACCACTACTCTACCAACCCACTCCTTCCAAAGAACCCATATACGAAGAGTACACCCCAACAACCAACCATACCCTCCCCTTCGCTCCCACGCCTCCAATTAACAACCACAATACCGAATCCCTCTCCTCTATAGCCGACACTCTCCATCTCTCCGCCGCCGAACGTCGTCAACTCTTCGGTCGTCAAAAAGGTGGTGGTTCCGGCCCACAGGCTGCAACAAAAATCATAAATTTCAATACAGATCAAGAATACGCACATAATGAAGAACTCCGCGCTGCAGGAGAACAAGTTGTGCATAACCCTGTCAGAGCAATCGCGCCTGGTAAACATAGTTTGAAACAGTTGGTTGGAGCGGCGCAGAGTCAGAGGGAAGCATTGGAGGAGAGTTTTGCGACGGGTAGGAATAATAGAAAGGAAGCGGGGAGTAAATATGGGTGGTAGATAGGGGTTTGGATAGTAGATTGGTTTCTAATGATGAGAAAGAAAGAAGAAGGGAAGAAGGGGGAATGAAAATATGAAATGAGAAATGAGAAATAATTCGATACCCATATACACTATTCTCAAATCGTGTTTTATGATTTCACATGCGTAATATTTGCACTAATATATCGGAAAGACCTCAAACCTTCTCTCAATCGTCTCACTCATTCCGCTGGTAAATATCACGGCAGTACAATGATAAGCGAGGAGACCCCCTTATATTCCCGAAAGATTGGTATCAATTTGCTAGCACTTTGAAGTAATCGAATATCTATTGAATATCTTGCAAAGTAGAAGCTGCCAAGACTCCTGGCGACAGAAACTATATTCTTATATTAACAAAATCTTTGACAGAGTAGTTGCTTAGCTATGGAGATATGGGGTATGTCAAAATCATTTGGAGCGAGGGGTGGAGTTTGAAAGTTGGGCGTGAAATGCTACGGAATCTATGGTAGGGATAGAGGTTAGGAATTGTGGTTGTGATCTATGTATTATGGATATACACTATATGGTAAAGTTGGAGGGACAAAGAGAAAGAGAGAGAGGTACATATGCATAGTGAAGAGAGGAAGTAAATTGTAGTTAAGAACCGCATTGTAGGTATGTAGAATCGTATATAAGATATATAAAGATGCAGTAAATGTATATACAAATTTCATCATTTTCCCATCCGTCCTAACACCTATCCCAGAATAAATGTTCAAAGGACCCAAAGATCAAAACCAACTCCTCCCGATCACAGCTCTTGTTCTCGGGAAATATATGCGCCATAAGCCGAAGCCGTAATCCTGAACCCAAATACATATAAAAGCCACACCAAATTTTAACAATCCACTTGAATAAGAGTGAGTCTCCTTTCTCCTCTCATCAAATGCTCCCACTCTCCTCTAGTCCCCGGACTCACATCTTCCACTCGATTCGGGGTTCTATCACCCCTGAAAAAAGGTCCCCGATCTTCTCTCTCTCCATTTCCGCTCTCCCTCTCCCAAACCGGACTTTCCCCATCCCTCCCCTTAGCGCTCTCACCCACCTCCACCAAATCCTCTTCCTCAGCACTAAAAGACGTCTTCACCGAGAGCGACTTCCTCACTTCGTCATTAAAAATCGCCTTTTCTCCTGCACTCCCCCCATAAATCCTCTTATACCCTTCCTCAACATCACACAGCGCACTCAGCGAAATGCCCAACCACTCATACCCTCTCATTACCTCACTTCTCCCGATCTTTCCCCCGCGTACCAAAACCACGCGTCGCAACTCATCAATCGCAATACTCATATCTTCTGCGGAAAGACTGCGCGAATAAGTATGCAGCGCGCATTTAAAGGAATACAGATAATCAAGCGAGTAGAGGGATAATCCCGGGGCGGTGAACACGACGCGATTTTGAGCCAGCGAGCGACGAATGAGATCTTGAGTTGAGGGATCGGAGATGGGGGAGGAGAGGGAGGAGGAGGAGAGCCAGTCGGATCCGATGGAGGGGAATTTTCTTTCGGCTCGCGAAATGGTGGAGCGGAGGATGCGTTCGGCGCGGGGAGTGAGACGGGTGGAATGCATGAGGGTGATGCCGTAGCGGTTGGGGGTATCGGGGGATACCCATTCTGCGGGGGGAGAAGAGGGGGTGGAAGGAGGGGAAATGGATGCGCGGATGTGGTGGGCCATGGTATCTTTGGGGGAAGAGGGAAGGCCGGAGTATTTTGTGCGGGAGAGATAGATTGTCGAGGTGGAGAGGGTAGATGTTGTGGTTGAGTTTGAGCGCTCCGAAAGAGAATTCGAGAAGATGGTGCTGGTTGGGCTTGAAGAACGAGAACTGACTGGACAGGTTCCTCGACTTGAGAGTGAAATGTTGCGAACGTGAGATGTGAGTGGAGCGCTATTGTAAAGAAGTGTTGATGGGGATGTAGTGTGTGAGTAAGAACCGGGTGCGGTTGTAGTTCTGGAAATAGCGGGACTTTGTATTTGATTGTCTTTTTTGACGACGATCAATGATAAGTGAAGTCTCTTTCGTACCAAGCGTTTTGATACGTAATCGAGAGCTTCGAGTAATTCTGATGGTAGTTGCATTGGTTGGAGCAACGATGTGCCCGCTTCCAATGGAGAGGATATGTTGTGCTTTGAGATAGGCATATTGATGACAATGAACAGATATGCAATGAGTAGATGTTATCGAGAGACTTTCAATTGTCTATCTTGATATCCAATGCAAAAAGCTGAAGCCGATGGGAGAGCTACTTAACTCGAGGGAGCAGTCAAGAGATATATAAATTTCAAGACTTCCAAAACCCAGAAGACGCCAATACCCAAAATAAACTCTCCGATGCATGATACCCGCATAGCGGAGAGACAAGCATGTAGCCTTAGCATGTAACTAACATGGTATATAAGGCATATCGCGCAAGATACTGACAGATCGTGGAGCTTTGACTACATTCTGCTCTATGATCACTTAGTACTACATCAATAGTATCATAAAGGGGAAAATTGTTTCTCTCTAGTGTGAATGGTGTGTGCAATCTGCAAGACATTCTTGATAATATGATATGATTGGTTAGAAGTGTATTCTAAAATAAAACATTGCATTCGTTTGATTTTAACCGACGGGTGAGTCTATTTTGGGAGTTGCAGATTACTAAGTAGCATACTCAATTTGATAAACCCACACCTCTTTACGCGCTACACATTCAAATATATTGGTACGTAGTAACAACAAGCTATGATTTTATCAATATCTCCAAGATGTGACGAACTCCGGGCGCCTAACACCCCCTGAATCCCAGTCACACACCGATATCCATATCCAATCCGTGCAACCCCTAACGTACTTCAAGTTTATTTTTGGATGTGACGAACTGTCAAATATAGAAACAAATTACCCCGCACCACCCACTTCTGGCGTTTATCTTTGTGTTGATCAGTAGATCAATTGATGTAAACAAGATATGTCTCTTAATTGAATGCGAGCCCTATCCTCCCTCTTCTTCGACATAGATTCGAATAGGGAATTTTCCGATATCACAATTCAAAACCTTGCATATCGCATATCGCATATCGCATATTGGATATCACATATTTCTATTTACATTTGGTACTTTCTGATAATCTAATCCTCGTCTACTCGGATCTATGCGCCTATTGCTCGCATATTTAGATCTTCCCATTCATATACATAAGGTTATCATACCAGACTAGATGTTAATTTTAGGTCTTCTTAAGCTATGATATAGGTCCACTAGACCTTCAAATCCCTGTGTCACGATATCCCGTTTGCTAGGGTTCTTTATAGACGTCATTTTTCATAAGTATTTTAGATTATCAAAGTCATTCACCACACTTCACTTCATATCCAAAGTTCAAATCGTCATGAACCAAAGCGAACAAATATTCACGTCTAAAACCCAGCCCTTGGAACTTCTGGTAAATGCAAACTACGTTATCACAACCATTAAAGTTTGAGTTTCCAACACTCTCATCTTGAGTCAGTACATGTCTATACATCTAGATAACCACCCGATTGACTCATCTATCTTCCTATAGCTGAGTCAATAATATCACCGCAGGCATCAATTTCAGTACTTCTGAACAAAACATAACCCACAAAAATCTCTATGCGTCCACATCTCCCACTTACTCTCATCCTCAAGCCCGAATTTCCTTCTCCAATAGAAGATTCATTCTCCCTCCTCAAATCTATCTTCCTCTCTATCTTACATCTCCAAGCTTTTCCCCATACCCATCACTCTCCCCATCTCTCCCAACTTCTATCCTCACTAATCCCCAACTTAAACATACCAAATCCCAAATGTCAGGTCCCACGCTCTAAAACACAACACAACACAATATACATATCCTTCTCTTTCTCCCTTCTCTTTCTCCCTCCTCTTTCTCCCTCCATCCCTCTATTCCAAATATCACACAAACATCTACCCACCTTCTAGACTTGAATCCCAATTCCATCACTCACCAGAACCATAGATATACATCTGCAACCCCTTTTCCCTAATCACTCACCCACTCACCCAGCAAATATACCCTCACCTCCCAAACTCCTCATATTCCCCATCCCATTCTTTTCTCATTCCCTTCAGCTTACACACCCCTCTATATTTCCCCATCTCTATGCATCTCCATCTCCATCTCCATCTCCATCTCCATCTCCATCTCCATCTCCATCTCCATCTCCATCTCCATCTCCATCTCCATCTCCATCTCCATCTCCATCTCCATCTCCATCTCCATCTCCATCTCCCATCCTTCTATAAACATCATATCCATTTATCTCTCCACAACTCCTTCTATCATCCTTCTCACCTTCTACCCCTCCCACCCTATCTTTCTTAATTCCCAATTCCCAATCTCCCCCAATCTCCCCTCAAATTCTAATAACAACAAATACCAAATCCATCAATCCCTACAACAACTAACTAATATATTCCCAAATCCCGCTCAGCTACTTATATTATATCATATAGCTACTCAATTAATAATTAATAAACTCCTATATCGATATTACACCCACACTCATATTCACTTACACCCATAACCTACCTCATTTTCTTTCTCCTTATTTCTCGCTTCGATATTATTACTTTCTATTTCACTCATCCTCACTCTCATCCTCACTCTCATCCTCACTCTCATCCTCACTCTCATCCTCACTCTCATCCTCACTCTCATCCTCACTCTCATCCTCACTCTCATCCTCACTCTCATCCTCACTCTTTTTTCATCCATTCCTCTCCTATTCTCCCTATTAAAGCAAAAGTGAATAAAACAAAATAAAAGAATATAATATAACATAAATCTCCATTACCTCTTCATCACCTCTTCGTCACCTCTTCACCACCTCTTCACCATCCCATCTCCCATCTCCCCTCTCCCCTCTCCCCCTCTCCCCCCCCTAAAAAATCCACAAACTCATTTCCCACTGACCAACGCCAACACCAACACCTACCCCCCCTCTCCAAACATTTCCAGTATTCAATTCACACCCATCAAGAAAAAAGATCTCCAACCACACTATCCACTCTTTAATTTCCACATCATTTCACACACACACACATACCTTCCTTTTGATTTCCAGCATTCAAAACTTACGTCTCAAACTTACATCTCACACGAGTTTAAGATACAAGCTCTCTCACTGTCTCGCTAAACCCCGAGTATTGAACCGCTCGCGCAACATTCGCTCGCTTCACCTCACCCGATCATTCTAGCTCACAGTACAATTCGCATAAAACACACACACACAAACATACAAAGCCCCAGAAGAATATAATATCCTATTCTCACTAATACGAATCGGATTTATGATCCTTCCTTTTTTTTTCCTTCCCTTCCTCCGCACCATCAATTCCCTTCGAACACATAACTAATATCTCAAGTTCCATCATTCATACCATACACACCCGTTTTAGTTTCATTTCATTCCATACAACGGGGCATGAACATCGTTGTGTTATCCATCCATCCATCCATGCATATTGATAACTATACCTCTTTCTCGAACATGAATGTCATCACGTCCCTAGTGCCAAAAAAACTTGTCGACTAAAATCCACGTCCGTCCCATCGTACGATACCAACCATACCAACACCTTACCGCCACCCCACCCATCACCAAAGAGCTGTGAACAAGCCAGAGTAAACCACCTAATATTCCAATCCAATGCCTGTGAAACAAAAAGAGATGATGTGACGTAAGGTTATCTTGCCCGTACTGTAATATATGTGCAGAAGAATAGTTTAAACTGCAAAGTACAAAAGAAATATAGTCTTCTTGAACAAGTAGCCTAGCCCCGAGACTCCGAGTATAAAACTTTTGTTTAAAAATCCACAAATAGGTGCCCAAATCTAATATTTGTTAGTTAAGTTTGAAAAAGGTCAAGAGATTCACTTACTCATCGGGCCCACCTTGACCATATATCTCCGTTTCTTCAGGGTACTTATCAAACTGGCTGGCATCTCCAACTCCAGCCTTGACCGGAGGAACATAAGGTGCATCGATATCCTTCTTGGATAACCTTTCCCAAGTTACTTCAGCGAACCATTGATGATTTTTGACATCCTCAGAACCACCATGTAAGTTACCAAGACGCTTGGTGAGATCTGCTGTGATCAATCTTTGCAACAAGTCCTGTGCATCTGGGTGAATATATGGAGGATACTTGACCCTCCCTTTAAGAATATTCTCATAGATTTTCATGGGAGAGCCACCATCCCAAAATGGTGTAAAACCACAAAGCATTTCGAAAATTAATATACCAAGGGACCACCTGATTCATATTAGTTGGATGATGCAACCTTTTAGGATAATATGGTTCAATCGAGCGCAGCGAGGACGGGGTTTGGGGGCCTGCCCCCATAAGAGAAAACGTATAATGAGGATGGTCTAATTGATGACGCTCCGCTGGGCCACTGCCGTGGAGGCCTTTTCGCTTCGCTCTAGGAGAGGGAATGTGGAATAGGGATGATGAGGCTAAAACTTACCAATCTACGGATTTATTATAACCTTTACTCGAGACTACTTCTGGTGCTAAGTAATCTGGGGTACCACACAATGTCCATGTAATATCTGGGACTTTCTTTGCGAATCCAAAGTCAGTAATCTTGAGATGTCCGTGCCTATCAAGTAGTAAATTCTCTGGTTTCAAGTCTCGATAAATGATATGTTTTGAATGAAGGTATTCTAGAGCCAATGTAACTTCAGCAGCATAGAATTTGGCTACTGGATTGGGGAATCGCTGAAATTGAATAATTAGTGTCTTTCATGGAGTCAGTGTCATCGAACTTACTTGTGACTTTCGCAGTAAAGAGAATAGTTCACCCCCCTCTACAAAATCCATCACCATGTATAGATTCTTCGAGTCTTGAAAGGTACCCCATAGAGTAATGAGGAATGGATGCTTGACTTCTTGCAACATCTTTCTCTCATCATTGGTATGTTCGACCTGCTTCATCTTGTGCACCTGCGCCTTCTTCAATACTTTGACGGCATAGTATCGCTGATTGTGCTTTGATCGAACTAGATGAACTCGACCAAAACTTCCCGTGCCCAATGTGCGCTGAATATCAAAGTCTGTCAAAGAATATTTGCCCTTGGTTTGTCTAATCTGTGGCTGCTGTTGTGATTGCTGCGATTGTCGCTGTGAGGAGTCCATTTGAAGTGTGCTGGTGTTAGCAGCTACCGGATGTAGTGAAGGTTGTGAAGAAGCTGGTGGGGTTGGATATGACTGGCTCGCGCCGTCATGCTGTGGTGGATGGATCAAGTTGCTAATACTGGGAGAGTTTTGACGGTGCTGCTGTTGATCAGAATGGATTTGCGCAGATTGCTGCTGTGGAGTTATTCCGTGTGTCATTGAGGCTTTTTTGGCCACGGCAGTCGGTTGGTCGTCGGTTGTGCGAGAGGTTGTAGTTTGGAGAACCTCGTGCTCGTGGGATTGGGGTAAAGTCGATTGGGTCGAGACAGAAGCTATCGAATTATCGAAGCCTCTTGATGATGTGGGGGTTGTCGGACTGGTTGTGGCTTGACTAGATGTTGGAGAGGTTATGGCCGGAGACTCCTTCGTCCGTTTCTTCTTCAGAAAACCGAGTGTCGGCATAGAATGAAAATGGTAGGTTGCTGGATGTCGAGTTTGATAGATCGACAGTCAGCAGAAAGCAGGGCCGCGGGTGTGTGGGCCGAATGCAGGATGATATGTAAGGTAGATGGGTAGGTCGGTGGTAGTTGGTAAGGTTACCCCCAAAGCAGTCTTGACAGACAAGGCTAATTGGGGAAAATCAAAGGGTGTATGTTGTTTAATTACCGGGTACCTAGAAAGGAAGGGAGGAAGATGTGTTATAAATCGACAATTTTAAGTTTCTTTCTCGATTCTCTTGAAGTCTTCGTGAGCAAGGTCAAGGAGGGAGTAGCAAGTTGCTCGTTTTGGGGAGTAAGCTTCGTAGGATGCGGATCGTTGTAGTTGTAAATTATGAACTGTGTCCGTTGCGACAAAGAGCACCAATTGAATGGAATGATACAATATTAGAGTGAATTAAGGGTTTGGAGAATGTCGGTATGAGTGGAATAAATATACCAAATGGAATTCAATTGAGAATATCGAGGTTAATGGTAATGATAGTGATAATGATACATGAACTAATAAGTAACCATTGATGTATTTTGGGGGGGGGGGGGAGGGGGGAAGATTGATTTGGGATTGGAGGAGGTTGGTGGGTTGTGTTGGGTTATAGCTGTTGTAGGTGGTAGGTAGTGGCTAGTAGTAGTGGGTGGATGTGGGAGTGTGGGAGGTATACAAGGTACCTATGTACCGTATGTGATGATATAAGAAGATAATCGCAATAATTACTGGGTGATGGTGGTGGTGGTGGTGGTGAAGGCAGTGATAGTGATGGTGATAGGTACAGAATGAATAATGATAATGATGTGAGGGGAAACTATTAATATGGAATTGAATTCCGATCGTGACCCAGGAGGGACGGAGGTTGATTGTTTGTTTGGAATATGACCACCACCATTGACCGTTAATGACTACAGGCAAAGAGAGGTAGAGTAATTATTCTACCAGCTTGGAACTCTCTCCCCTAGAACCATTTCAATAAAGTCTTTCACTTCAATTTCTGTTGTTGATGTTTTGATGTTAACTTGATTGCTCCCTCACTGCGGAGTACCAGATGCTCGATGCTCGATGATGATATCTGAGTCCTCTCCGTCTTCTGTGCACTCGGTGGTGTATGGCGTTAGCTTTGGTGGGGTTGATGGTTCATCATTTGATGATTTGAGGAAGAGGAGAAGATCAACCCGAAAGATACTGCAGCTGGTAAGATAAAAAAATATTATACCTTTCAACTCATCTTGCTACCACCGTCCTGATGTTAAAGAAGACGAAGTCAAGGTTTTCAGTCTTGTTAATGGTTTGTTCTTGATGGCGCTTTATTCTTTCTTTCAGTTCCAGTCCTTTAATGCCTTGACTGTAAATATACATACTAGGTCAGTCATGGTAGCTATCTCGTATCTGTGTCTCTCAATGCTTAAGTTAAGGTTACACTTCTCAATTCGTGCATCGTAAAGTAAGATCAAGAGATGATACCGATACCTGATAATATACTGAGAAAGAAAGAGATCATGTTCCGAAGATATGTACTATATACTAGGTAGGTCGGCAGGGAGTGAGTGAGTACTTGCTTCCATCTACTTTCTACTCTGACATTCTCTGATATCAGAAATCCTAGATACGTGTTGATCAAACTACCTGATATCTCGAAGCCTTTCCATTCTATCAAAGCATTGATTCTGCACCAATATACATTTGTATGTGCCTCTAGCTACCAAGTAAGATCTTACCTCCTCTCGCATTGTAAATTGTAAATCATGCAACCAATGGCAATGCGGGGATATCAGCATCCTCCGTCTTGTCGTTACAGATCTCACATCCATCATGAACAAAAATTCAAAATCCTTCACAAAGGAAGTGTACACGCGAGGTGGATGGAAGATCTTGATTCATCTTGTATTTCTTGTCCATCATCATTATTAGTCAGCCAGCTTCATCACCTACCTACCTACCTACCACTTCTACTTCACCAACCTAAACTCTGCTCTCAGTCTCCATATGAGCAAAGTCTATCCTCTTTCTCCAGATCCAGTACCAAATCGGGTGATCAATGTTTCAAATAAAATGTCAACTATAATTTATTCACGTCACTGCGATTTCTAGTAAGTATGCCTACCTATCGGGGCATAATTGAGTGCAAGCCCATGCCATCATGTAACCTGTAACTTCGAAATAGATGTATTTTCAATCTTTAACCCTATTTAACTATCAGATTGATACCTGTATATGATGAGAACTTTCTCGAGGCTCATTGCATACACTTCATCTCGATTTTCTTGAATTCTCCTAGATCCCGTGAAGATGTGGCCAGTCCCAAAACCCATGCAATGCAATGTGGTACTCCGATTACCCCTCATGTTCTTCCCAAACTCCATGCTATCTATGCTTTGATAATCCCGAGTCCCATTAATATTTACTTCCGTTCATTGACCACTCATTCTGCTCTCCGACCACAGCCCATCGATTATTTGAAAGACTGCGGTAACAGCTTGCATTACCCCTTCGTCAACATCTTGTCCTCCCAACTTCTGTTGAATCTTGTCGGGATGCCACCGGACTCTTTCTACCTTCAAGGTCTTCGTAAGCTGTAATTCGGTAGGTTCTCCGGAGGTTGGTGCGCATAAGAAAAATCTTCTGACGTCCTCCTTTTTGACGTCTTTTCTACTCCCACTTTCGACTGGCCAAGGTATGGATGCAACTGCAACTTTCGAAGAGTTCTTCCCAAGATCTTCCCATTTCTTAATGTAGTTATTCCATTTTTCGATCCAAATTTTCTTGGACCTTCTCTCCTGACCTCGCTTCAAACTCTCCTCAACCTTTCTTTGCAATTGTTCAGCATCTCTCTCTTCTTTCCTACCTTCTTGAGCCAACCGTTCTCGCTCTTTTTTGGCTGCTTCGCGCCGAGCCTTTTCCTCTATTAAATGTTGATGGGTCTTCTCATACATTTTACCTCTAACATATGCCGTATATTCTTCGTCAGTCATTTGTTCTAGCTCGCCTGTAGGGCCTTGCTTGACGTCGGGATATGTATGAATTGGTTGCCCATAAACTCCCTCCCAATACTGTGCAGCTTCATCGTCAGCCATCGCATCAAATAGACTTTCCCTGAATGCAACATCTGGGTCGAGATACTGATTGGAAGAGGTATTGGGGAGGTGCGTGTCATCGTAGAGGGATGGATCATCCTTCGTGGCAGATTGCCTGCTTCGTTTTGAGCGATGATGATGGCGGTGGCGCCTTTCTTCGCTATGGCTCCCTGATGGTGGTTCATCCTCCCTATGCTTTCTCTTGAATCGAAATTTAGTTGGATGAGAGTTGGTCATATCTTCATTGGAGTTTAGTTGAATTTCTACGTTGAAACAGTAAAATGATAAGTTTTGGAGGTATGGTTGTGATATGAACAACTAAAATGAGCGTACTTGGATTTGTGGTTGTATACAACATCGCATCCTACGGTTTTGTCATCTTACTGAATGGGGCCGCTAAAGTTCTTATCGATTGCTAGAGTGGGTCATTAGCGTGATTGCCGCCTTACGGCATTTTACAGCTACCTATGGAAAGCGCGACCCATACCGTACATTGCAATCCTAACATAACAAAATACCTCTTCCTCAACATTCTACTATTCCACCATAAAATACACAATGGGATTAAATAATGGTTTCAACGTATTTGGTGGTGATGACTCAGATGAGGATACAAATGTCAATATTCCATTGTCAAAACCCTCGAAATTTTCGAAATCCTCGACCTCGAAACCCTCGAAACCCTCAAAAAAGCCGCCTATAAGTATGTTTGGCGACCTCTCGAGTTCGCTCACGTCGAAGAAACATGCCGAGACTGCAGAAGAACTTGATGCGAACATATACGATTACGATGCAGTCTACGATTCTTTGAAGCCAAAGAAGAAGGTAGTCAATGAGGAGGAGGAACGGAAGCCGAAGTATATGAGCAATCTTATTGCTGCAGCTGCAGTACGGAAGCGCGACTCTACAATTGCCGAGGAGAAGAAACTCGCAAGAGAAAGAGAAGCTGAAGGCGATGAATTTGCGGATAAGGAGAAATTTGTCACATCGGCATATAAGAAACAACAAGAAGAGAATCGCCGCATAGAAGAAGAAGAACGATTGAGAGAGGAGGAAGAGCAAAGAAAGAATAAAGACACGGGAATGACCAGTTTCTACAAAAATATGCTTGAGAAGGGTGAACAGAAACATGCTGAAATAGTAAAGGCTGCCGAGGAAAGGATTAAACAAGGCCCACAAGAAGATGTGACGGAGGATGAAAAAATGAAGACTGATGCAGATATAGCACGGGAAATCAACGAGAAAAAGGGAGGCACCATTGCCATCAATGACGAAGGTCAAGTTGTTGACAAGAGAGAATTACTCAAGGGTGGATTAAACATAATACCTAAAGCAAAACCAACACCTAATCCAAATTCATCAAGAAGTGGAAGCTCAATGCCTGATCACAAGAAAGGCAACACATTTGTGGGAAGTGGAGGTGGAAAACAAGCTATGCGCGAACGACAATCACGAATGATGGAAGCACAATTAGAACAAGCTACCAAACGAGCTTTGGAGGAAGAGGAAGAGGAGAAGCAGAAAGTAGAGAGAGCTTCTAAGAGTCGAAAGACCGAAGGCGATATTATGAGTGCCAAGGAAAGATATCTTGCAAGAAAGAGGGAGGCGGAAGAAGCAAAGAAGAAAGCATCTCAATAGAAACATAATATATAATTCCCGAATCGAAACCAGAGCAAATCACATGTCATGGCCGTAGATATCTCCATTTCATTTATAGTGGTGTTGTTTCCAATTCCTTGCATTTTATGCCCTCCATTTCCAGAGACGTGGTGACCCATTCATAGTGTACAAGAGTATAATACACTCCATCATAATAGCCTTCCATACCAAATCACGGATCATTGTTGTGATATCTCGCTCCAGCATGCTCTAGCACCTCATCACTTCATCATCACATAACCCCTCCTACTCAATGATGTCACTCCTTCCCGTGATAACCTTTTGTCTTCCCTACCCTCCCTCACTCTTCCTCTACCCCTCTTCTAAAATCCCAGCCCAAATCAAAATCTAAAACATACCCCCCGTCGCCCCTCCGCTAGTCGACTCTCGTTGCAATCTCGCAATATATTGCTTGCTCACTGTGTTCCACGCTTGCATGTATTTTTCCATACATTGGGTGAAGCAGGTGGTTTCGCCGCTGCTGAGAGAGGTACCAGGTTTGGGGACGCATTTCTCGAAGCAGTGTTCGTTTACTTTCTAGGTGGATGGTTAATATATGAATTGTAAGAGGCTAGGGGAAGGGACGTGGAGAAGGGGTTGAAGGGAAACTAGAGGAACGAGAAAAGAGAAAATATTCACCTCGATCAATTGTCTAGCATTGGTCATAGCAGCTTCCTGACGAACTTGATTCATAACAGCAGCTTTTGGGTCCGAGGAGGCGAATGCATTGTTAAGAGAATCCATGATTGCGTTTATATGTGTTATGTATCGATTTCTATGTAGAAAGTGACGCTTTGAGGAGATTGAATCTCAAATTGTATATGAAGAAGAGGTGTGAATTTTCGTTGTTGAATTTTAAACTTAATATCTACGAAGAACCTCAATTTTTTAATCAATCTCAAAGAATGACGATGGACCATCAAATTCACAACTCGGCCTTAGGCAAGTACCGACTGGTAGCTATCATCCCTGGTTGAGAGGAGAGGTTACAGGGTATACAGCGTCAACATCAACCACCAGTCCGTACTGTAGAAGTAATTTCCAGGGCTACAAGCACCCCCAACACCCGACACGAACGCTATAGCAGTTTCCCCAATCACTGACAGGCTCAAGACAGGCCCCAGGCATTCTCGCAATTCAAAATAACAGGGATCTCAGCTTAACCTTGAAATCCCCGACGCCAAATTGTTCACAGACACAGACACAGATAGGAAACCTTAAGGCCAGCTAACAATTTAATCTGACGACTTCGGGATTCGATTCACGATACTTCGTAGTCCCTGAAACTATTTCCTTTCTCAACATCCTATTCTGATTTTTCTGGCAGAAGGATCCTTCTTTTTCTCCATCTACTTTACGTTACTCATTTTCTTTGCTTCGTCCGGTTGAAGAATTGATTGAAATCTGGGGAAAGTATAGGCCTTGAAGAATACTTGTGGATAGGGACAGATTGTACAGGACGCAATGTGGTTCCCCAAATCATTGTCGGCGCTATGGCTGGCTTCTTGTGTTATGGCCGCTGGAGATACGCAGACTACGAAGCTGAGTGAGGACGGAATTAGGAGCATACCGGTTGGTCTACTCGATTGAATTACCAGTGAAGGAAGAGTTGACTGACTTGTTGGAATAGCTTCGAACACATTCGCTGAATCAGGTCAGTAGTTGAACAAGAAGCGCATAACATAGTTTTGGGAACTTTGCTGATTTGGAATTGGATTAGCCATATTTGGATTCGGATATGCAAAGTAGATGGTTCGATTTCGGCGGAAATACTATTGTGAGAGCAGACAAGTATGCATGCGCCCTGAGTCCAGAACTAGTTGTTGGGGATAGATGGGCTGATGTGGAGGGTATAGGTACATACGATTGACATATGATCATCCATCTTCTTCAGGATGGCTCTTCTCAAGAGTCCCACTAACAGCCACAAACTGGGAGGTATGAATATATTCGCCCACACTCTCCTCAATGCAATCTAACCACAACTTATCTGCAGATCGAAGTCGAATTCAAGGTCCATGGTCAAGGCAACCTCCATGGTGATGGTTTCGCCATGTGGCTCACCAAGCAACGCGGCATCCAAGGCGACGTCTTCGGCTCCGTTGACAAATTCGAAGGTCTTGGTATCTTCTTCGACACCTACAAGAACAATCGTCCCGGAACCGTCTTTCCCTACGTAATGGCCATGGTCGGCGATGGCAACACTGCCTATGACAAGAGCAACGATGGCAAAGATCAAGAATATATGGGCTGTTCTGCACGGGGTCTCCGCAATGCGAATGTCCCAACTAAAGCCAAACTCACCTATTTCCAAGACAAATCTCTCAAACTCGAACTCCAATACAAGAAGGAAGATCAATGGGAACTCTGCTTTGAAACTTTCGAACCACCTACTATTCCATCCGTAGCCTATCTCGGATTTTCTGCCGAAACGGGTGAATTGAGCGATAACCACGATATCATCAGCGTCAACACGAATAATTTGTACGATACCAACACTCACAAGAATAAGTACAAGGATTCGCAGCCCAAGCCTGAAAATGGAAATAGTAGATCTCAAAAGGGACAGGGTATTTTGAACAGAAAGAAGAAGCCTGCCGGAAGCTGGAGTTGGTTCTTTGTTAAGTGTATCATTGGATTAGTGTTTCTAGGTGGCGGTTATGTCGGATATACGGCTTGGAGAACTTCGCAAAGGAGAAGCCATCGATTTTAGATGATGGGGAATGAAGGTCATGGTACTTGAGTATTCAAGTCTGATCGATTTTGAATTGCAAAGTTGAAAGTGAGCAAAATGAACACAAGAACGCGAGAAGCAGTGGATAAGGAACGAGAATTGAAACCCGAAATTCACATGCAATTGAGATGAAGATCGATCTCTTTACTTACTTCTATTGGTGGATTGATACCGAGAGGAAAAGTCGAGAATAACCAAGGGTTTCAAATAGTTTATGTAGTATACCAAGGAAAGCAAGACAGAAAACCAATATTCACTATGGGAAATGCAAGGGAATGAAAAGATTCTGATGATTGGGGCCTCGAAAAATATGTGATCTGTGATGTATAATCCGTAAAACGAATCATTTGATATAGCCTGGTGAGTGTACCGTACCTATACAACTGGAGATGGCGGGCTACTTGGGGGGCTGATTGTAAGCGAGAATGTTCAGGGGGATGCTAGTTTGGGTACTAGTCCAACGAGGTACGAGTAGAAAGATGCTTGATGCTCGATGCTTGATGCTAGGTAGATGGGTAGGTGGGTAGGTAACTCGATCATAGGAATCGCAATCCTGTTTGCAGAATGCTAAAATGTAATTGTAATACCTGCATGATCGATTCTCTACATCACACTAGTATAGATAGTAGTATCCAACACTCCAGACTACAATTCGACCATACAAGATTTTGAAAATCCAAGGCGATGAATGAATGAGAAAGAGAAACCAGGGGAGTAAAATCGGTTTAAATATTCTACTAATCGAATTCGATATCTCACTCCTATGGTCCATCTCATCCGTATGTTCGTTCTAGTTGGATTTGGGGGTTGAGTTATCTTTCTTGTTTTGTGGGATTGGGTGGTTTGGAGTGGAGTATGGGAGGATGGGATATGGGATATTCGATGTTGTTGATTAATTAGTACGTCTATTTCTACTGCACTGTAACAGTAGTAGTAAATCCATAATCGATTCGGTCGGGTCCTATCTAGCTATGCGAAGCACCATGCAAATCGCCCTGAAATATGGTTCTAATTGAATAAAGAGATGGGAAAAAGAATAAAAACCGATTCCCTTCCGAACTTCTCGTTTAATCTCTCTGGGCACTTTCGATTGGTCTTTCCAAGTTTTTCAAATTTTTAGGGTGTGTATTTATTCTAGTCCAAAAACTTTCTGTGCGTAAATTCCTTTGATATACTTATCAAAAATCTCGTGCTTTCTATTGTGTTACAATAATTCCTTTTTTCTATCTAATTTTTTCAAAATATTATAAAAGCTGTAATTAGTTTATAATATCGTATTTTCTTCTGAAGGGTTGTTTTTATCTTCTAATTCTTCAAATTCTTTCTAAAAGGATTACTGCTTTATTATAGTTCCCTTAATCTATTACTTATAAGCTTTATATTTATCTTCTTTTAATATATAATCGATAGTATATATTTCTTTTAAATCTATTATTCTCTTATTCCTTTTTGTATTATTGAATTACTCTATTATATAGAAATAATAAGCTTTATTCTAATAATACAAGGGACTAGTGCTATATTGTAAGATCAGAATAATTAAATAAGATTGAAATAATAGATATGATAGTGTTGGATATTATTGTTTTTAATAACATATACTTTATATTAAAGAGGTTATTATTCCTTCAACTATAATCGATATATATCGTTTGTTATATAAAATACTATCGAAATCAGTATTTTCGTAATAATATTGTATACTAATATAAAATGCTATATATTTAAATCAATATATTATTGTGAAATAGAAATCTGGCTTTCTTCTATTTATATAGAGTAATTGTAGATATATCGATAGGATATCAATTATTGTATATATTAGTATATCTCTTGTAAGATATTTCCTGAAAAAAGCGGGGCCTTTTGAAGAGTTTTTTTTTATTTTTTTTTTATTCAAAAATCTTCTTTTTTGTAGTTGAAACTCCCTTGTAAGGCTTTTGAGTATTGAAAAGTCCGAATCTTTATAGAAATTTATAATTAATTTTTTTCATTAATTATATTTATCGTAGGTCATGAGCTAGTATATGAGTATATAGTATATAAGAGGGAATAGACTAATATTAGTCTATTATGGGAAGCTGGCTCGTATTAACAACTAAATAGCTATGAAACACGTGATTTTCATGAAACAGTATATGATATTCTTATTTTCTTATTCTATATTCGAGGGGAAAGGCCTTATTTTATGCTTTTTCCTACTAATCTAGCTTTCCACTTTCGTTTATTTTCTCGTAGATCTCTTCCTAATCCGGCCATTCCATCAAATAAAGCTTTTCTTTCTTATTCCTTATTCGATTTCGCTAGTACTATGTCGATCTTACTACGAATGGATTGAAAGAACTAATAAAGAGCTAATAAAGAATTGATTTTCAGGCCGTTCTGGGCTAAGAGCTCTCTTAAGCGACGATCATGTGATTTGATCATGTGATCATGTGATTCGCTCTTAGTATACTATATGAATATAGAACTATATATATATAAAAAGATATATTATTATATTATTTTTTATATAAAAACAATAATATTTGATATAATAAGTCTAATATTGATAATATCAATATTGATGATTCACTAACCCGGCATGCGAAATAAACCGCGGCTGCACCATCGCTCCGATCGCACCAGGATTGGTTCTACGATAGTTAGGCGTGTGGTTTGATTGCAAGCTTATATTCAAATAGTATATCGAAACACAAGTAGCCAAAGGCCGGAAATTGGCTTATCACATTAAAGAGCTAGTTCGAATCACAAACAGATCTCTAATAGTATCCTTATAGAAAATAATAATCATTTGCTTATACCTAGTTTTATTTTATAAGGCAGAGATATAATATGTAGAACAAACAAAAACCATTGGATAGTATTAAAATGGGATATTAGTAATAATGAGTATCCGATTAGGAGAAGCGATTCTAGTTATCAATAAGGTCCTAGAAATAGCAATTAAAGGAATCCTCCCAGTTTAGCAAACGACCCCGAATATAATAATAATAAGAGATAGCGCTCTCCCACTAGTAGAAGTAGTATTAGAATAGGTAAAATGGAGAGCAGCCCTTTATATTTAAACTATTGATCCAAAACACTCTCTTTATTATTAAAGAATAAGAGCTATCTATTTCTTCGATAACAAGGAAGGCCAATTGCAGTCAGCCAGAATAAAGGTCTAGATAATCAGCTAGTACCTTTCTCGAATTAAGGAGATAACTTTAGTAAGGCTTTATTATATATTAGGGTATCAAATAGATCCCACTAGAAACCTTACGAAAAAGATAGCAGCAAAGTAGTTTCAGGAATAGTAGAACAAGTATATATACAATCAGATCACTATATTCTCTAATGAATTGGAACAGATTGATAAGGATAATAGGTGAGTAGGATATGAATATATTATATATAGAGGATAAACAGTAATATACGAAGGAAATAATGGATTGTATTATAATTCTTATATATTCGATATAGAAGCGATTAGGGTATATCGAGATCTTCAAATAGTGATTAATAATATTATTAGTATAAAACAAATGGAAATCTATATATATATTGATAGCATATTAATGATATAGAGAATAAGAGGTATAGTCTTTATTATATTATAATAAGCTTTCCTTATTTTTATTTATTTATTTATAGTGATTAACGTCTTGTGGGGGACCTCTCTAGGGGTATGAAAAATATGACTAGATCTAGAGTTACAAATACAGAAAAACGCTGATGTGCATACTAGTAAAACCTCATAGAATAAACCCAATTCCTTTTATATATCCTAAACAAGCCAGTGTAATATTTGCAAATAGGGCTGTTTGATCGATTCTATATTCCTAGCGCTTTCTATTATTCGTAAAAAGGAGTATTTTAATTGTACAATTATTTTTGTTATAAAACTATATGGGCAGAAGTAGTATATATAAGTGTATCAAATAATATCTCAGGGATCCCTTCACATAGAAAATTCAAAACAAATCGCGAGCTCATAACAACCATATCTATGGATATCCCGAAATCATATTATACAATACATACCAGCGCGATCGCTGTAGCGCTCCGAGCTGCTTGGCTCGAGAATGCTGTCGCAGCAGAATCAGAGAGGGCTGGCAAGCCAGCTGTCACCTATAGGGACAACGGGCTTTCTGATCGATCTCGATGACTGTTCTTCAATTATCGCTTCGAAGAGAGTGCGGATTAGCAACAAAAGCACTAGTCCCCTCTCAAGCTTGTTCAAAAGCAACCAAAACATTATTGAAACAATTATGAAGATAGCTATTCAGAAGAAGATTGATATATAACAGAAGTGTACTGTAGACGAAGCTCTAGTATTTATCAGTTTCGAGACGATTCTTGTATAATTCGCAATGTAATTTGCAGAACAGGATTTGAGCCGATTGACAGGAAAACTGGTATACAGAGTATTAATAGCTATTACAGACAATACAAAAAAGACCTTTAACTCAAAGCTAGCAATAGAAAATGTAAAGCCAACTATACAAACATATATGGGGATACTTCAAACCCCCAAAACCACAACCACTATTCCCTTTAGCTCAACTGTGAAAATAAGAGCTGCAAACAGGCTTAAGCAAGTAATCAATGGAGTATTGAAATTAGAATATACAGATAAAAGACTCTTCCTCCGATTCAACAAACGAATCAAAATAGAGTCGTTTTTATAGGAGATCAAATAGATATTAATAAAAACAGTCCCAGAGATTACTACTCTAGGGGCTAAAGCTATTACAGCAATAATATCCACTCAAACTGGGTAGATAATTACAGCTTTCCCAGAAGCCTATATAATCCTTCTTGCGAACAAGCAATAGGCTATAGTAACTATTAAAGCTACAGATCTTGTGATTAATGAGTTATGATATATATATATAGTATCAGATGTCACGGTGTGAGCTCATGTGATATGCTGGTCCTATCGGAGAGGACTGAAAGAAGCGCTCGCACCGGAGCGCAAGCGAGCTAGGGCCCGA